ATACATAATATCCAACGTTTTACGTGATAATCGGTATTTAAAACTCCTCAGACAACTGATCATAGGGCGAACTTTACGTACAATATCATTAGTGTGATCATTCCACGTACAATCGCTTTGGAGTGTTAATCCTAAATGTTTATGACTTTTGACTTCTTTTATGATTGTTCCGTTCATGAATAGGTTCGGTTTTAGAGACGGTTTCGTTTTACGTGAGAACTGAGTAGTTTCGGTTTTATTTGGATGAAATGTAACCTGCCACTTACGGGCCCATTGTGAAATTCTATCTAGATCTTTGTTAAGACAGGTAGCAGCAACTGATGGATCGTCTATGATAACATATAATGAGGCGTCATCCGCAAAGAGACGAATGTTACTGTCAACATCACATACAATATCATTGATGTATATCAGAAAAAGAAGTGGTCCAAGGACAGAGCCCTGAGGTACTCCAGCTAGTACAGTTTTCTTGTCAGATTTATAGCCGTTAATTGCGACCTGTTGTACTCTATTTTCTAAATAACTTTCAAACCATTGTATTAGTTCGCCTTGGATACCATAGGTTTTCAGTTTATAAATAATTCCTCTATGCCAGACCTTATCAAAGGCTTTACTTATGTCGCAGAAGACTGCTCTAACCTCTTTTCCTTCGTCAAGAGCTTTGGCTATAAAGTTGTACAAAAAGGTTAATTGATTTGTTGTGGAGTCACCTGGCATGAATCCTGATTGTAAATTTGTCATTAAGTCGTTATCTCTTAGGAAATTGAATACATATTTAAATACACATTTCTCAAAGTCTTTCGATAAACAAGATGTGAGTGCGACAGGGCGGTAGTTAGAACAGTCATGTACGCTATCTTTCTTGTGAATAGGTATTACCGATGCTTCTTTCCATGGACTGGGAAAAATTGACAGGCTAAGGGACAAATTGAATAATTTCGTAAGTATGGATGTTAGACTATTTGCGGTATATCTAAGTATTTTATTTCCTATCCCATCCGGACCGGTCGCTTCTGATGTGTCCAGTGACATTAAAATATCTCTGACGTCATCGCGGGTTCGAGTGATGTTAGTTAATTTTGGGCTGCAAGGAAACTCGGTATCGGGCAAATCTCGATTTGGATCAGCAATAGTCGACTGAGCGATAAAGTAATTGTTTAAGACATTAGCGATTTCTTCAGGGTCATTATAGATTGTATCGTTAAAGATAATTGTCCCAAATTGATTGTCATTGTTACGTGATTTTATGAACCCTTTCGTCAGACGCCACCACGTTTTCGTACCGATCGAGGTGTTAACAGAGTCTTCAATTTTAGAAACGAAAATTTGTTTAGCAGTTCTAATAGCGGAAGTAACTTTATTTCTTGCTGATCTGAAGTTAGCCCACTTCGTTGGATGGTTACATTTCTTTGCAATTTTATGTAGGCGATTACGTTTCCGAATCAAAGAACGTATTTGGCTCGTCATCCAGAGCGGATCTGCAGGTCTAATAGTGACAGTCTTATTTGGTATATGTTGATCGCAGATTTTCATTATTGTGGATGTTAAATCGGTTGCAATCTTATCTATATTATTGGAAGAAAATAAAATATCACCGTCAATATCATCGACACTCTTGTTCATGCTTACAGCATCAACGAACGAATAGTAATAAACTTTCCTCTTATAATTTATAAGAAGGGGAATTGGTTGTTTGATGGTCACAAATATCGGACAATGGTCACTGCAGATAGGGTCAAGGACTCCCGAGTCGTTTACAGCTTTAATATTCGAAACAAATCAGATCTATCAGGGTACTTGAATGTGGTGTAATTCTAGTTGGTTCGGATATAATCTGTTTAAGGTCATACATCGATTGAAGGCTATCTATTTTAGTTCGATTTTCCCGAAGGACGTCTATATTCAAGTCGCCGACAACGATAGTATACATGTTCAGGTCGACGGCGTTACCGACAGATTACTCAATCAGATCCCAGTACCCCGCGCTCTTATCTGCTCGATAGACGGATCCGATTAGGTAACAACGATGTTTACACTTTATCTGTATCCACACCGCCTCGAGCCCGGGGGTGTCAAGGTTGTCCATATGCTTGGCGTGTAAGTTGCTTTTGACATAGATCGTGACACCGCCACCACGCGTTTGCCTATCTTTCCTGAATGGTAGGTGATATCCAGGTATTGCTATATCAACACTACGAATGTCTGCATTCAACCAGGTTTCAGTAAGACATATAACGTCATAAGATCGAAATTCTGCGTCAAGTAAATCAGTTATGTCTTTCAAACTGCGCACGTTCAAATGTATTATGTTAAGGTCTCTGAAATATTTCGGCCCAGGATTCGGATGGATATCGCCACAGCAGAGAAGGATGAGAGAGGCAATTACAGATACTTGGGTGCTGTAGAGACACAAGAACTTAAAACTGTGTATGGATTTCATAAATCGGACTGCAGATTTTGACTGTAGTTTTGCAGCAAAGGAACCCACTGCCTGTCTGTACTGCTCAATATCAGCCATAATCAAATATCACACACATAGTCGTATCAGGTAGGACAGTGGGTTCCAGTGGGGGATTACATGGAGGTAGACACACACAAACTGAACTAAAGTAACTAATACATGTAAATACGTTTGTTGTAATTTGATGTAGGTATAGGTCAACTGACACTGTGTAACATGATTTTGAGTGAAACAATGAAAAGAAAATAGAAAGGAAAATAAAGTAAGCCATAACCATGATATGGCTTAATAAAAGAAACAAAAAGACAAGATGCGCCTTTATGGGAGGAACAACCCAAAAACTAGGGACAACGGAGAATCTTCAGGTAAGCAATTACAAGCTGGTTGACTAAATATCTACACAATCTATACGTTCACTTCCAAACGTATAGGCTCGCCGTTATATACATAAATGTTTCATCCAACAATACAGAATTGTCCATATACATGCATACACACACGGATATTTACAAGTTGGCATTTGCATAAACTTATTTATAAGGTAATATGAATTATTCATACACAGGCAACTTACATGTATCTTCTGCACACATACTACACCTATTACAAGAATGTATGCTACACACATACTACACCTATTACAAGAATGTATGCTACACACATGCTACACCTATTACAAGAATATATGCTACACACATACTACACCTATTACAAGAATGTATGCTACACACATGCTACACACATTACAAGAAAGTATGCTACACACATACTACACCTATTACAAGAATGTATGCTACACACATACTACACACATTACAAGAATGTATGCTACACACATATTACACCTATTACAAGAAAGTATGCTACACACATAAGACTACGGGAACGTACAGTACTTTTGCTTCCTGCATGGACCCTAGCTGGATTCTGTATATAGAAATTATCTTGCAAATGAAACAGTAAGTAAATATGGTACCCCAATGGAACAGCACAAAGCTAAGTTTGCCATGTTATCTAAGCTGAAACCTAGCGGAAACCTACATTACCCAGTATCCAATAGGTTTCCGCAATAGCGGAAACTAAGTCATTTTGCTATGGATGTTTCAGCGAACTGAAACTAAATGGAAATGTATAATGATAGTTTCAGTTGTAGAAACTTGACGGAAACCTAGATTTGTTAGTTTCAGTTTTGTAAACTATGCGGAAACTCGCATTGTCTGTTTCCGGATACTGAAACCTAGCGGAAGCCTACTTTACCCAGTATCGATTAGGTTTCCGCAAGAACGGAAACTAAGTTATTTTTGCTGTGTGTGGTTTCAATCCTTACGTCATCACCTCCATAAACATCACTTCTAGCATAGTGAAACCAATGGATTTTTCTGTCAAGGGTGGCCGATGTTTTGTCTCTTGGACAAGTATCATGGCTTCATTACAGAACGACCATAAATTTTAAACGTTTTTGTTTCTTTTCTTGTAGGCAGTGATGTCTCTGTGCTTGTACACTGTAGGCGTAGTTCAACATCAACATCGTTTTTACATTCAACGTTATAAGTAAATCACGTTATTGCGTGAACAGAAATCTGACCCATGTGGAGATCGAAACACGTGTTTTCTGGCCTTGACGTTATGTAGTTTATGCCCAGAGTAGACGCTATACATACCTAAATCTACAATACTCAGCACACATATTGGTCTGTTAGTGTTGCACCCACGGGAAAAGATGACTGAAATAATCAGTCAAAGTTGCTTTAGTCTATCGCATGACGTTTTAATCCCCACACAAAATGGCGTAGATGAAGAAGGCATCTGACAATAACAAGCAAATAAGACAGCACAATGTGTAAACAAGATAGCGTGGGATTACCCTTCAATACAGAAGTCCTATGGAGATACCTCCCTTGGTTCAATAAGTACAGTAGATACACATTATATAATTATCTCTTTTGGTCCAATGAACATTAGTACAATAATCACAGAGTTTATATCATATGGCTGTATGATAATTCCAATCTCTTACTCTAGGGCATGTCCCAATATCTATAGATACATCATACTGCCATAGCTGTTTTCAACCAAATACATGTGCTAACTAAAACCATAACGCTGATGTAACAGTGATGTCACAATAACATCAAATTAAGAACTATGATAACTATTTAGGAAGAAGTTCATACAGAATTGCCTAATATCTAAGTACCATGTTAAAAATAGTTTCTCACTGACAACAATATATCACTTACAAAATTCTTGGTACTAATTCATAATTACGGTACTTGATTATTCTGTATAAAACTATTCTTCAGTAGGCGTTACGTAATTACAAGGTCTCAACATGTTTACTGTACACATAACGTAACATTCACCCATGTACGACATTGTAAACAAAGCGTATAACGCTAGCTTTTATCTAGACTGATAACTTACCAAATTGTTGTGGGGTACCTGATGTAACGTAATTTTTGCTTAAAATTACCAAGAAATATATAAGCCTATTCTGAAGGGCTAACATGTGTGTCCATGCAGGTTTGGACGGAGGACAATGATATTGGCCGGATTATCCAGTGCAGTGTTCTTCAGCATCTGCACCACCTGGGTCACCAACCTCTATCTTCTCCTTGCATGTGTGTTCCTTATAAGAGGTTCATTCAACATGCAGTTTGTGGCAAGTTTCGTCCACAGTAAGTACATAAACCAAATCCGTAAAATTGGTTTATTATTGAAGTAAATCGAAATACTGAAATGGAGAAGTACACAATTACACAAATGAATTCCAAATGCTCACTGAAGATTCTCAAAGGCTCACAGACAAAACTGCATTTTACATTCTTATAATGATTTGACTGTTTAACGCCGTAGTCGGCAATATTCCTGCTATATGTCTTCGGTCTGTAAATAATTGGGTCTGGACCGTACAATCCAGTTATCACCAGCATGAGCATCGGTCTACACATGGGATATGATGACATGTGTCAAGTTGTCAACCAAGTCAGCCAACACAACCACAAGAGAAAAGTATAAAATTTAAAAAATCCACATTTGTAGTAAAAGGCCATATTGCAGTGTCATCCGAAGTCTTTGTCGCCACAGGCATGGAGATAGTCGGCCCGTCTAAGAGAATGATGACGGGAGTTGCAGTCAATCTCTTCTGGAGTGTTGGGAACATGATTCTGGCTCTTGTAGCCTACCTGGTGAGAGACTGGAAAACTAGGCAGCTTGTCGTCAGTATCCCTGGTATCATCTTTGCCTATATGTTGTGAGTGCATTGACACAATTTTCCCTATAGATATGTTATGTACTAGAAATCAACCCAAAATAACAACTTTACTTTCATATGCTTCGTTTTGTCACCCATTATATTGACTCGTGTGTGTCGGGCTTCCCATCTCAGATCTGGTCATTAATATTTATCTTACCTCACACATAAATGTCGTTTTCTGATTGGCTGAGCGCTCTTCTATTATTTTCAGTGCACCCTGCTTACAAGCAAGTAACATTTCTATGTACCCCGCTGGGAATGCCGAACTCATTTGGTACTTCGTGGTAGTAATTCTTTATCTCGAATAACATTGAATCACGTATGATGTACGGAAATTACCGATGTTTTACGCATGCAAATCGATGGAAGGGAGATAAGTCTAATCTGTTTTTTATTGTCGTCTGCAAAATCTATCGATGGCTACAAAATGTTTTGCTTCAAACAATTCAAAATTAACATTGAGGTAAAATACATACGTTGTTCACTGGTCCCTCGGGGCCCATGGGTTGATGTACCTCTTTGGGCTCAGGGAACATACACAAACAAACGGGTATATCAACCCATGTTCCCCTCGTGACCAGTGAAGAACTTATAATGTATATGACCTATTTAGAAACAAAATGATTTAATATTGATTTCCAATATTTAGTTTTTTACTATATAGTTAAGCCTGAGTCACTTAGTACGTCCTGGGGGCGGTGGGGTAGCCTAGTGGTTTAAGCGTTGGCTCGTCACGCCGAAGACCCGGGTTCGAATCCCCACATGGGTACAATGTGTGAAGCCCGTTTCTGGTGTCCCCCGCCGTGATGTTGCTGAAATATTACTAAAAGCGGCGTAATACCAAACTCAGTCAGTCAGTCAGTAGTACGTCCTGGCCTGTCCCAAAAAGTAATTGTAAAACGGGCTCGAACTGGATAGAACGTAACTTTTGTAAAAATTACGATGCTACTTTGATCAAAAACAGTTCTCAGTACCTCGATCTCGTCTTTACCCCGTCCCCAGACATTTGGTATTACGTTTAGACTGGATAAAATTGCTCGTTCACCCCGTGTGGACAACGTTTTCAAGGTGTTCAATCCCGTCCTTAGTAAGTTTATATCCGTTCTGAACTAGACCTATCTCGTTCTTGATACGCACAACCCCGTTATAACTCGTTCTTAACTCGGCCAACTCGTTTTCAGGCAGTTCTTCCCGTTCTCATTCCGTTCGTAGAGCGTGCACTCGTTAAAGCAATCACGTCCTAGTCCGTATTCTATAAGTTCCCAGCACGTTCTTGTCCATTCTCATTCCCGTTCTCAGTTTCAAGGTCTCCTGATCATTAAGACAGATCTCCTCCATCAGTTCATGATAATGTCCCACAGCTATTCGCCTCTCAGGTTTATGCCAGTTCCTCGCCTAACAAGTTCTTGTTCTTTTCCTCCTTTCTTGCTCTACCAACTCATTGTGCTCTTGGTCTGCTTCAAATAAAAATTGCCGGAAACCAGCATTCAACATGTTGACAGCTGCAAACTTGTTGATGTTTCACGGGTAGAAATCTCTATCCCAAATGACGAACGTGTTAAAAACGCATGTATTTATACCCTACCTTGTCATATCGTACTGCACACGGTCTGGAAGTAGTAATAACTGCGTGAGAACTACATAAACGTACTAACAACGAGTAGAACGTAATGAGAACCGCCCGGAGAGCGGAAGGTCGCGGGTTCGATCCCCGGCCGCGTCATACCAAAAGACGTTAAAATATGGTACTTGTTGGTCCCTGCCTGGCGCTCGGCATTAATGGGTACAACAAGGACTGGTCGGCTCGGAGTCAGTATAATGTGTCTGAGTGGGATATACATGCTTCACTGCGGCATGGTATCTCAGTGGGCTAGCACTATAAAACCAGCTTCAGTCTGGGCTAGTACAAGCAGCCGCACATACAGATACACACGCATGCACGTTGTCATATGAGCGAAATATTCTCAAGCACGACGTTAAACCCAATTTCACCTCACCTCACCTCACCTCTTCTTCTTCTTCATTCGTAGCAACTGCGTCGTCATTTGTCTCTGGTGCTGGAGGATGAGCAATAGTTGTAAAGCTTTGGGGTCCATGTTTTCAATTGCAGCTGTTATTTGGAGAAATGAAGAGCGGCTGCGATCGGGGACTTTTATAACCAAATGTTTAGGAAAATTAATATAAATCGGGAGTTGATCGGATAAAGTGTGAATAGATTGGCAACGAATCACCATGGGCGTATGTCCAACGTCATCCCATCGGCAGTGATTGGATGTTTATCGTCACTACAGCGGTCGTTTATCGTCACTACGTGATGAGAACGTGATCAGCATGTCACCTGAGTGTGTTAAATCGGGGAAAGTCGGGACATGTTTGCAGTCACATCGTGCCTAGAGTAGCTGTGCATCGTATCATAGTCACATAAAGCGTACGTTGATTGTGTGTTCAGCGTAGATCAAGCGTAATTGCATACATGGGGATATTTTTCCACAAATGAGCCCGCTATGAGTTCGGCATAGATCTGGATGGTTGCTGATTGGTCGTCGCCCAGAGAAATGGGAGTATGAGGACGTAATTCGGTCGAGTTTGGACGTGGTGGAAACTGTGTATAAACGTATTGCAATTGATGACCCACTGCACTACGTCCGCACACCAGTACGACTTCAGTACGATTGCAGTACAGTGCAGTCGTAGAACGGCACTTCTGTTCGTAGTACGGCAATTTCGTTTGAAGTATGTTGTCACTCCGTCCCTTTTTAGAATGGGTAGAACGTTGGACATGTTCAAAGTATGTATAAAACAATCAGTAACATCTTGAGGCAAGACTTGTTTCACACTTTACAGTAACGGGTCTAGTTTGCTAGATGTAGAGTGAACAATAAATTCCCGAGGGATGACTTCAAGTTTCCAACAATCATTTCCTGCAATATTCAAACAGCTCCATCCTTTGCTGTCTTCACCCTTTAATCATGCCATCACTACGAACATCTCGAAGACCGTCATATGATTCTTTCTCAAACGTTTTTTGATCGGGTTTACAGCTTTGAGGACAATGTCATCATTACAATGTTTCAATACGTTGACAGGTGAGTTCTTGCTGAAATCTTATTTGACCAAGATCTTGGCAATGATTTTCAAAGTTCCATAAATTCCCAGGTTTATTCAGTTGAACGCTAGACTTACCTTCTGTGGGATGAGGATGCGGTCCCCTTAAATAGCGAATGTAACTGGTATCACCATTATTTGAGAGTAATTAAGGGACAAGTTATAATATGATTAGAACGTTAATTGATTTTGCTTGTAGTATATATTTCCTGGAATATTTGTAAAGATTTTGCCATGCTTATTCAGCTTGAATAGGCACACCTTTTCAATGGTTATGGAGTGAGCAATGTCATGGGGTGAAACACCAGAAATGGGTTTCAGACATTGTGCCCATGTGGGAATCGAGCCCGGGTTTTCAGCATGACGAGCGAACGCTTTAACCACTAGGCTACCCAACTATCCCTTCGTGGTGACGAATGTGGAAATGGTTTTGTCGCTTTTATTTAATGACGATACTGTAATTTGAGATATGTCCACACCTTTCAGCTTTCTCCCCGAGTCCCCAAGATGGCAAATAACCAAAGGCAAGAACAAATTAGCAAAGACAACAATACTGAAACTTGCCAAATGCAACAAAGTTGAAATGTCTGAAGAAACATTAGAGACGGTAACGTGCGTCGACGAACCAACAGAGCGCTTCTGGGAGCTGCTGAAGTCCCCCATCATGAGGAGGAGGATGGCAGTGATTTGTTTTAACTGGTGAGATTCAGTGAATCCTTAAAGATTGTTCTTCAGTACTATTGCATGTGTAATTCCATTTGTCAACTTCTTCGCTGATTAGGGATGTGCTCCATTTACATGCCTGAAACTTGGTGTAAACTGTGCATGCGTACATGTGTATGTGTTGTAAATATTATATTGTTTTAATTAATGTTTTTTTGTAAAATGAATGTTGATTTACTTGTCATACAGCAGGCCAATAATACAATTGTCGTTGTTCCATGTTCAGTGAGTATGGTTTTACGCCACTTTTAGCAATATTCCAGCAATATCACGGTGGGGGAACACTAGAAATGGGCTTCACACATTGTACCCATGTGGGGAATCGAATCAGTGTCTTCGGCATGATGAGCGAACGCTTTAACCACAAGGCTACCCCACCGCCCCCTCCGTGTTCAGGGTTATACCATGGCGAATCACCTGACGTTTTGCAATAGTAGTACAACCTTCTTATCTGCTAAGTTTTTAGATTTTTTGAGATGTATGTAACATGGCCCTGTGATATCAACTGCAATACCTTGATCACACGTTCTGAATCTTGAGATGTCAACTTTAATACACTCCGAGGTGTGGTGATGTAGCCTATTGGTTAAAGCATCAGCTCGTCAGGCTAACGACCAGGGTTCGATTCCCCACATGGGTAGAGTGTGAAGCTCATTTCTGGTGTCCCCCGCCGTGATATTGCTGGAATATTGCTAAAAGAGACGTAAAACCATACTAACTCACTCACTATTACACACCGTATTACGCCCTCTCATTCTTCAATGGTTAGAGACTCGTGACTGTTTCTCATTCCAGGACACCCGTGAAGATCCCGGTTAGAATTGGTTTCAGTACTTGCTGTAAGAGGCGACTACTGGGATCAGGTGGTCAGGCTCGCTGATTTGGTTGACACATGTCATCACATCCCAATTGCGTTGAGACCGCCTCCGTGGTGTAGTGGTTAGAGCATCCGCCCGGAGAGCGGAAGGTCGCGGGTTCGATCCCCGGCCGCGTCATACCAAAAGACGTTAAAATATAGTACTTGTTGGTCCTTGCCTGACGCTCGGCATAAATAGGTAGATCTAGGACTGGTCTACTGAGTGAGTGGGGTATTCATGCTTCACTGCGGCATGGTATCTCAGTGGGCTAGCACTATAAAACCAGCTTCAGTCTGGGCTAGTACAAGCAGCCGCACATACAGATACACACGCATGCACGTCGTCATATGAGCGAATTATTCTCAAGCACGACGTTAAACCCAATTTCACCTCACCTCACCAATTGCGTCAATCAGTGCTCATGATGTTGATCACTTGATCCTCTGGTCCAGACTCGATCATATACATACCACCGCCTTAGAGCTGGAATATTGCTGAGTGCTGTGTTAAACAACCAACAAACCAACCATTCCAGGACCTTCATAGGGTATTTTTAGGCAATTGTTTCATACTGACATCTCTGTAATATAGGTTTGCAACAGGAATGGGTTTCTATGGCCTCAGCATGAACGTCACCAACCTCTCTGGCAACGTCTACCTCAACTTCTTCCTGTTTGTTGTGGTAGAAGCGTGTTCCTATGCTCTCTGTGCGCTCTTTATCAGCCGAATTGGTCGAAGGAAGATGTTGTGTGGAACCATGCTGATGGCAGGAACTGCATGCATTGCTGCTTTCATTCCCTTCTTTGTCGAGAAAACATGTAAGAATTGGTTCTCCGTTCAAGAGTGAGTGAGTGAGTATGGCTTAACGCTGCTTTTAGCAATATTCAAGCATTATTAAGGTGGGGGATACCAGAAATGGGCTTCACAGATTGTACCCATGTGGGGAATCGATGTGGGGAATCCAGAATTTCGATCCATCAAAATTATAATTACGGTTCTGTCGAAGATAAATTTGGTCCCTGCGCGTCCTTCTTCAGTGTTTTCTCTTGTGTCCAGCCTTGGATAACTAGAAGAATATATGTTGGTCCCTTTCAAATTCGATAACGGTATTATATAGCACGATAGCAATAACTCTGTACCAGTTGAGATCTCTACTTAAACAAGAGGGTAGGTTGACAAATATACATTAACAATACATGTGTTATGGTACAGGGCCCCGTTTCAGAAAGCTATCGCAGCGCTATAAGTCTATGTTACAATATAGGAGGTACGACAATCCTAGTGCCACGATAACTTTGTGAAACGGGACCCAGCTTAGGTACTTCCTTAACAGTGAATACCCGTAGCCAATTTGCTCAACTTTGATTCATCTTTCTCAGCTAACAAGTGGATCATCACAGCCCTGGCCTGTTTTGGAAACAGTTGCGTGTCAGCTGGCTTCGCCACCGTTTACGTCTTCACAGCGGAAGTGGTACCGACGACGACGAGGAATTTCGGCATGGGGCTAGGCTCGGTTTTCGCCAGATGCGGTAGTATGTTGTCACCATACATCAATGATCTGGTGAGTTGTAATAACTTTTAAGGTTTACAGTTTTAGGGTATTAGAAAGGTATTAACCACAAAGACATCATAATTATCTTTAACTCCTGTCCTTTCTAGCACAACCTTGTTTGTTCCTTTGTTTGTAGTTTATAATACAGACCTTTAAAGTTGTTATGGTGACGTTATGCAGTGTGCGAAATAGTTTCCAAATTTCGCTAGCCAGTCGGGCTAACTATGCCTGAAGTTACTTCTCTATAAAATAATTCACTTACCCAACATTTTATTGTAGAAACTAAGCAAAAGATTACAAAAATAGATGAGAATTAAATATTGTCGGCATGACACGGGTTTCATCATTAAACTGTTTGTTGTAAGGGGAGGGGTTAGCAGAAAATTGACGGCCATTTTATTTTTAATCACACAAATGTGTGTGACCTTTTTGTGACCTCAGGGAATATACAATTACAAGAAGCGTAGTTGATTTTACATGTAAAGTGAATGTAACAGGCCATTATCCAGGCTACCAACAGCCATTCCATGTACACATGATTACAGTCTGACCTTTAAACTACAATAAAACAACTTCTGGTCAACTTGAACCGGCTAAGTTTGCGAGCACAGGAAGCCACACACAGGAAGCTAAACACATCAACTCCAGGTCTGCACCAAATGTCACCTACTTGAACATATCTGTACACACATAAGCATAAGTCATGGTGATAAAACTGACAGCACTAAATACTTGTGGTCAGTTTTAATGACTGGATGGAGGTGCGTGTAAGAAACATAAACATCTTACATTATTTCATCCAATCACAACTGTCACATGTCTCTTCAGTTACGGACTGGCTCAGTGAGCAAGCAATTTCTGCTTTAGTGTAGTGCATAGACTGCACCCCATTCACGCACTAAATTAATGTTTGATTTTGCTAACAGCTACAATCGTTTATTGTTCACAGATATGGAAAATAAATACTCAGAACTTCAGAGTTGTCTCTTGTACCAAATAGCGAGTGAATGAAATCTATTTTAAGCAGCCTAATGATACCTCGCCCTTTGATTTAAAAAAATGCACTCTGATATTTCACAGCTTTTGACCTAATAAATAGCAGCTAAATTCACCTAATATTCATATTGTTATATTAATTCTATGAACTTCAATAAAAGATTTTGCTGTGTGAATCCTCGAGTCGGCAAACTCATACCCCTCATAAAATAATTGAATAGATAATCCAGAATTGAAAACATAATATCTGAATGGACCACTAATATTGAGTCCAGGGGATGGAGTCATGGGTCCTCATTTTCTCACACCTAGAATGAACTTGAGGTACACAGTTGATCACACAAGTGTGTGATAACGTGATAAAACAAAATAGAAGGATACATTGTATTACTGTCACAGACCACCATGGTCAACCCAAAGGTCACACACACACACACACACACACACACACACACACACACACACACACACACACACACACACACACACACACCTGGTCCGGAAGGGGATTCATCTACAAAGGGGGCTTAAGGGTTCAACAGTCAAAATCGATTAGGTCACAAAAAGGTCACACACATCTGTGTGATTAAAAACAAAATGGCCGTCATTATTCTGCTAAACCCCTCCCCTTACAAGAACTGCTAATATGATGAACACTTTTTCAGGACATAATCTTGCAAGATTTAAAAGTGTTTAACGTAACAAGTCGGAGAGAGTGATATATTTTCAAAATGTCCACATGAAAATTCACTAGCCAGTCGGGTCAGTAACTCTGGTGATTTACTGGCCCGACTAGATTTTTACTAGTCACGGGCCTGTGGCTATTTCGCATACTGATGTTATGAGAGATTGTTGTGTTTGACCTTGCATGCATGAATAATACAGTAAGCAGGACTGATGTGTGGATGACTAAGGGCGCGGTGTGGATGGCGCCGACAGGACCGGAAAGGCAAATGCCGTGGAAAGGCAAATGGGTAAAGCGATAGAAACGTCTGTACTTCCCCCGAAGACAGCAAGCAGGGAGATTTGGGCTGCTGCTGTAAAAGCCATTGAGATACGATGACGTGTGTCAACCAAGTCAGCGAGGCTGATCCCGGTCATTACATAGGTCAGTCACAATGCCTAGGTAGTCCCTTCAAAACAAACGGTCAAGTATCAAGCACGACAACAAGTAGACAAATCATGCAAATATACCAAAGTCCCATTGGAGCGACTGATAACAGCCCTGATTTCCAGATGACAAATTGATTGCACGTATACCTTCCTGAGTAGCATTCAGTTAAAAAGAAACTCAATCTTAAGACAATGACTACCAAAATCTCGTTTTCACTGTTTACGATAAGAAGATATAAAACTATAAATCACCAACATTGTCTTTGCTCCACCTTTGTTTTTAAAAAGGTAACCAGGTAAATCATGACTAACCATGAACATGACTAATCTAAGCTTTGCATCTACATACAACGACTACAACCCATTTTGTTGTTTTAAGGATTAATGCAACCGAAAACATATATGGACATATCAGTAGCCAAATTAGCTTTAGACGGGTCGGACGTTAAGTATTAGAGTAGATACCGATTTAATGTCATAGTGACAGATATATAAACAAATTCATTAGCCGCGTATGAAGTGAAAAACAGATACAACAATACATAAATCGGAAATATCGATCTAATATATGAAACTATAGCTATTTTCAACATATAGTATTAATGAAAGATATGTCTACAAGCAATACAAGGATACTAGAATCTGTGCTTTACTGAGAACGTCAAACCGAAACATGAGTCTTATTAACCAATTCGACCCATGAAGATCCGGGGTAGAATATGTCTTCAGCAACCCATGCTTGCCACAAACTAAGACGTGACAGACAGTTCCGAAATGATGGGCGATTTCGTGTTTACAGACGTAGGGGTGAGCGATTGGCGCCAAACTGTGTCCAACCAAGAGGTGCACCCTTTTCGGGGAGGAGGTGTCATGGTATGGGGCGTGATTTTGGGTCAACAGAGGACACTACTTGTCATCCTTCATGGAAATGTGACTGCTAAAAGGTACAGAGACGAGGTATTGAGACCAGGTGTGTAACCATTTGTGAGTCAACAGCCGAGGGGTTTGATCTGGCAACAGGACAATGCACGTCCGCATACTGCCAGGCTCGTACAAGACTACCTCAACAACGTGAACATCAACGTATTGCCCTGGCCAGCACGATCTCCGGATATGAATCCGATAGAGCAACTCTGGGATCATCATAGACAGTTGAGACACCGGCAACTTCCACCAGCAAATAGACAGCAGCTCGAACAAATTCATTTGGATCTGTGGTACAGAATTCCTGCTGACGTCATCCGGCGAATGACGTCATCCATGAGGAGACGTGTTTTGGCATGTATCGATTCAAGGGGTAGTCACACACGCTACTGAACTCTTGGACAGTTCCATAGTGTGACTTGAAACACATCTTGTGAATGGTCTGTGATTGGGTAACATTTCAATTTGACCCCACGTCTCTTGTACTTGATTCCGTGTCCAGATTACTGTCGATTGGACATTGGTGACTCTGTGTCATGCTTGGTAAAGGGTTAAATTTTGTGTTATAAACAATATTTCTATCATATATGTCTTGGTGTCTTCTTTATGAGCTACAACATCAAGTGATGAGTTTCTTTTGACCGTTAGTTTATAAGTGATTACAGGTATGAAATAATACTGATTAATATTAGATATCCAGTTGAATGAGTTGGTCTCAAAATTCTGGACTGGTTATTGTACTAAGTTGCGCAATAGGACGGTGCCCAATCAGCAGGAAACGAGACTGTTGTGTAATCAATGATTTGACTTGAATCTCAAATATAGATGAGCCATTTCTAAATGGCGTTGTGTATTTATAACAGGAGGGTGTCGCAGGCAATAAGACTCTTAAAATCGATGCTCTTGACGTCAAACACTTGATTATCGATCCAGACTCGATTATTTACAGGCCACCGCCATATAGCATGAAAATAATGGAGTGCATTAAACAGCACACGACCAAACAAATCTTAAAATGTGAAGAGCTAAGCAGGAGGCATCCTATTTTCTCGAACATGTTTCCATATGAGTTCTCATTCTTGTGATGATCTTGACATTGCGACAATAGCCTAAATCACTCATGACTGCATGTACAAGTGAAGTGGAGAAATATCAACATAGTGAAGCGTAGGCGGGAATCAGTGAAGCATGACATTTAAAAAATATATATATATACTTCTGCTATAACCTAGAATGATTCTGTAAACTATTATTACTTCACTACGGTCTCGCCATTCATATTCCAAATATTGTTTATCACTGGAGAGTCTGGTCCAGAATCTGTTATTTACAGACCGCCGCCATATATACCATAAAAAAAGTAGCAGATATTGGATTTACAAGATTGATCAAATGCAACTGATGAAGCCAAGGAGGAAACAGATGATGAAGAGAAATTAAGGGAAAATGTGACATTTTATTCCATTCCTTTGGAAATGTTTCATCTGTATGGATATATATTACTTTTTCTCATATGCATTGGCATTGGCTAGTGGTGTACTCGCAAAATGGAATATCCCCTACTTTTTCTGAATGGTATATATTGCTGAATGTGACAGGCCGGGAAAGCCACATTTCAAAAATGCTATTGCCGGGAAGGCCACATTTCAATTACATGGCTGTAGCCGGTAAATAGATTAATTAATGGATTTCCGCAACGGGTTAAAGAGTGTCCCGATGTATAATATTGTTTTCACAAGAAACGAATAATCTTTCTTACTCACAAGCCTGGTGTTTAGCATTATTATAGAATTATGATTCTAAATCACATTGTATAATATTGTTTTCACAAGATTCTAATAATCTTTCCTACTCACAAGCGCGGTGTTTAGCGTCTTCGCTGAGAGTTTCTTACTCGAAATGGACATAAAATGGAATACAGAATATACAAAGTATGCAAGAAGGTCACAGGGATTATACGCAATGATCACTGAAAACTAGAACATATCCATTGATAAATTTAGATAGGTGTTTGATTGTTGAAAGTTTAGTACTTGACATCAATTTTTTATATGTAGAGATATTAGGGAAGGAAAAAATATGAACATCTAAAGATATTATAATGGAATTCATCCCCAGTTAACTGCGAGTTACAAAGGTAACATACTCTTTCTTTTAATGCGAGATTCGTCCATCTCCCACTTTCTATTGGCAATTTGTGGTTAGATGTTTTAAAATATAGAATAGGTTTCCAAATATTTTCAGATAGCAGTAAGTATTTGTCGGGTGAAGGTGAGTTTTTAAAAATCTTATAATATTGTCCTTTAGACTGGTCTTTCAGGATTGATTCAGATTTTGATGTGATCCAGGATTGAATGAAAGGGGTTTACAAATACAGCCGCATTTACAAAATATATGTTTCACATGATTTAGCCAGGGAGCATCATCCATAATATAATCTAGAATGAAAGCTGCTATTTTGTTGTTGCTTGGATGAGAAAATTTCAATGTGCACCAATAAGTAATTAATGGTTTGGAGATTTGGAGCTGAATAGGTTGTCTTCCAAGTTCTCCATAAACCATAAAGTTCGGGGTGTTATATCTAAGACCGGTAGCTAATTTAAGGATTTTAAAATGAAGACGTTCAATGACATCGCAATATCGTTAAAAGACTGTCCCAAGATTAAGATTAATCTAACTGATTAATCTAACACTAACCTAAAAGGATGGCACAATAAGGTAAAGAGACTTGTCCTGAAGTGCCACCCTAACATTTACGAGATAGTAAAGCTCTTTCAGCGTGAGCAGTCTCTCACAGAGGTTGTTGTCCTGAGACTTTCTGACCAGTGGACAGCACCTTCAGAAACAAAACCTGTTGTGATCTGTTTTTTTGCTAAATACGGTCACGCGTTTGAATCACTAAGCAGTTTTGACAGCATAGCCGGGAGAGCCACATTCCATGTTCACTCAAACGTAGCTATTGCCGGGAGAGCCACATCAATTTAGGCTAACTGTTTCGGAAATGTGGCTCTCCCGGCTTGTAACCTTTCTGAATGCGGCGTAAAACTAAACTCACTCATTCCCTCGCTCTCAGCTCCCATTGTTCTTGTGATCGTTCCTTGAAAACGTCTTCCTGTTTCAGACAATGCACATCAGTGGCAAGTACAGTCAGATCCTGCCCATGTTGATATTCGGGGGCATAATCATGCTTGCTGGACTCCTGGCGTTACTTCTCCCAGAAACATTCAACAACAGACTGCCAGAAACAGTCAAGGACGCCGAGCAACTTGGAACGTGAGTTCGTAACAAAACACAAATCCTCAACTAAGCAATATCCCCCCAAACCCTGGAAAAAGCCCCACTTGTGAACGCAGGATGAAAGATTGCCTTCAAATCTAAGTTATTCACTCAACAGCAATAATGTAAAACTCTCCAAACAAAAGGGAAATACCCTGGTTATAATGTCACCGGCATGATAAGCAGGGTGCACTGTAATTGCTATTTTGTTGAAGTAGGATAGCCTCTGTTCGTTTTGCATTTCAGTTTCTTCACATTGTTATTGTATCCCAATTGTGTAGATCGATGCTCATGCTGTTGACCACTGGATTGTCTGGTCCAGAATCGAATATTTACAGACGGCCGCCATAAAGCTGGAATATTGCTGAATGCGGCGTTAACAACAACATTCCAACCAACCAACCAAATCCGTGTTTGTAATATTTTGTTGTTTTCTACATAATTTTATGCTGTTTTGCTTTCAGAAAAGCTTTCGAGGAAAGGAACGCCGATACACAACTCCTTGCTGAAACACATTATCAGCACACTAAACTCTAGAATTGCAAGAAAATACCAGTGTAGTATAACTAATTCCAGTGTACTCAAACATACACAGTCACGAGCATAATTAGGATTTTGATCATCACTCTTCGTGATATATTTTGTGTACAAAAAGCGGTATGTTTGTTTTGTTTAGATGTTTGTTTGTATACCGCCTCACTCACCAGTATTCCAGCTACAATATTCAGGTTAGAATTGGTCTTCAGCTGACCATACTTGTCGTAAGGGGTGACAGTTGGGATCAGATGGTCAGGCTCGCTGATTGGTTGACACAGGTCATCGTATCCCATCTGTGTAGATTGACGCTCATGCCGTTGATCACATTTATTCACAGACAGACTGCCGCCATACAACTGGAATATTACTGAGTACGGCGTTAACCAAGAAACCAACCAACTTGTTTCATGTCATATTTGTTCTGGGACGTTATTAGATATCCGGTTTAACTTCGTATTTCAAAGCTATTTCCAATCATCAACGAACACATCATCACTTAATATTTACTATCCATCACAATGCTTTAAAATCAGAATCATCAGTAATGTTTATATGTATTGTACATGAATGTATGCATGCCGGTTTCTACATATCCAGGCATGAAAGTGAACTGCAAACACAGATATGCCACCACCAGAGACTGAAAAACAAGCAATCAGGCATTTGTTTGCCAATTGGCATTTGTCATTAACTATTTGAACAGCAAGAGTTAATGAAACCCAACATGCTGTCTTAAAATGCCAATCTCTGGGACATTAACCCCAATAGCAGCGGAAGCCGAGACAAATCGGATGGCTGACATCAACACCAGCATTTCAACATGGTCCTAATCCATCTGGCTTTCCTGAAATGTTTCTGATAGCTGATTACCAACTGTATCTTCCCTAAAAAGCACTATGTTACACATTTTCGACAATATTTTGGCCTTTATTATATATACTGAACAGCAAAAGAAACGCATTTTTTGAAAAAATGAATTCACATAAAAGTAAGCGTTCATGTTTATGTCTTCTATTTACAAACTTGACAAAAAGCCAGAGTTGCGTTTCGTTTGCTGTTCAGTATATACTAGGGAATGTACACACACTTTAGCATCCTATTAATGCAATAAAAGACTTATTAATGCAATGCAATAAAAGACTTATTAATGCAATGCAATAAAAGACTTATTAATGCAATAAAAAACTTATTAATGCAATAAAAGACTATCCTTTACATTGCCTGAAATCGATAATTGAAACTTCCAGGCGAACAGCTTCGAAATAGAGAACACTTGCAGATATGGAATGTAAACAATTGCTCCGTTCATCGAAAACGTCCATCTGGAATTGTGTTTTGTTTCTGTAGGTTTCCAACTAAATAAACAACATTATAGTTCCAAGTCTGAATTAGTCTTTCTTATGACCATAATACTGTCATCAGACATGGGGTGCCCAGGTAAGTAATATCCTGAACTATATTCTAAGTGAGGCATTCAAAAGTCAGTAGCGGGCCATACCTCAGATCAACGCTCCTCAATGTTCTTAACATTTGAATAGCGAGACATTGTGCGTCGTGTGTGAACAACGATTCCTATAAAACGAGTATCTTTATAATCAAGTGGAAAATCAACTTCAGCAATCGACGAACTTTGAAGACGAACGGCAGACCCTGCAATTACTATCCCCCAAAATGGAATAACGGAAGATATTCCAACACTGTGAGAATGTTGGGAGAAGATTCAGCATTGCTCTTGTTGCCTTCCACGAGCATACGTTTCCAGTATTCTTTCTGAATTCCGTGGATATAACTCTCCTGAGATAATGCAGCTGATGGTTTGTGTGGAAGACTTATCAAGTTCAACTTCCGAAGTACAATCTGAGATGCCTGTCAAGTTTAGACATAATAGATCATCTGTTTTCGACATTCGACACAGGGTCTTTCATCAACATAAATTCTGTTTCATTGTTTCATTTATGTACGGTTTGCTATGACAGTCAGGTTATGGCACATAACAGCTTTAAATGAAGAACAAAACGTCTTTAGTTGATAATCACAGACGAAAAGAGAATGACATCATCCCCATCTCGTGGATCACTCACCAATGAATCTACTGAGTCACAACCACATTCCTCTGGTTGTGACTGTGACAATCACATTCCTCTGGTTGTGACTGTGACCACCCCATTCCTCTGGTTGTGACTGTGACAACCACATTCCTCTGGTTGTGACTGTGACAACCACATTCCTCTGGTTGTGACTGTAATGGACTGTAATGGCTCCAACAAATATCCACTAGACCTGCAGGCGGTTAAACTCTGGTCACCTTCAGACAAATAGGCAGTATGCCAGTATAACTTTAGAATAGTGGACCTAGCGTCTGTTCACTGCAATACCGGTATGTCAGTATAGCTTCAGACTAAAAGGTTGTATGTCAAGATAGCTTCAGACAAATAGGCAGTATGTCAGTATAGCTGCAGACTAAAAGTCAGTATGTCAGTATAGCTTCAGACTAAAAGTCAGTGTGTCAGTATAGCTTCAGACTAAAAGGCAGTGTGTCGCTATAGCGGCAGACTAAAAGGCAGTATGTCAGTATAGCTTCAGAACAGTGGAACTAGCGTCTGTCCACGCATTACCAGTATAGCTGCAGACCTAGTTACAAGTAAAGTTGGTGACTCATTTAGAACTATTGCAAGTAGTAGTAGATACAATAGCGGTCCGAGACCAAGTCCAACAAAAGCCTCTGCAAAGCTTTATTTCACAAATAAAGCTTTTGTCAGGCTCTTAGATCTCACCCCCCATTGTCTACTACTTTTGAAGCCCCAGTTAACTTCCCGGCACACGTGGCACAATAGTGTCGCTATGACCGCGAACTAGCACTTGACACTATGTCATGTTGACCTCGATGAAACAGTTTAATGTGAATCGCCTATGATCTCTTTGGTGTTCGTAATAAAGGCTTGCTGGGCTTTTCGTACCCCCTGTTCTATGTACTTTTTCTCTCGTCTTCGCTGATAGCAGACTTATGAGACTTGGACCGGATTTCTTGTTCCATCTTACGGTACTTGTCAAGTTCAGAGCCCGCCGTGATGTTGCTGGAATATTGCTAAAAGAGGCGTAAAACCAAACTCAGTCAGTGTCAAGTTCAGAGAGGATTGAACGAAACTCCTCCTCCGAGATCTTACTGTCAATGAGTGCCGTGGAAATACGCTCACTTACTGTGTTCAGCTTTGCTTCAGCCAGAACCCTGATCTCGTCGTGTTTCAAAGCTTTACGATGCAGTCTGCGGGATGCAAACTTAAACACCAACCCTGCCACCCCTACCACCCCTGCTGTTATTTCAATGCCTAGCACTATAGGTGTGGCCACGATGGTGGCTAACAACCCAACACCTGCCGCCCCTAGTCCCATGCTGGTTGCCATAAGGGCAGTATCAGTCCCGTCCACGATATTGAAAGCTCTATGGTACTTCTTATATAGTGCTTTCCGTGTGTCGCGGTCTTGTTCTAGTTGGTGTTTACATCACATAACTGTCTCAAGCGGAATCCGTCTACGGTTTCCAGGGTTTTCGCGACTTCCTCTAGCCCCATCCTGTGTGCATATAATATATCTTATGAGATATTTTCTAATTGTGTACTATTTAATCGTTCCTGAATGTATTTGAGACTTATAACGTGCAGACTCTCAGGCAGGTAAATAGGTGAGAGGATAATAGGCCCCTCTACTCTCACATGAACCCCAGGGAGGCTTACTAAGGGGACTATATAACCCAGTGAGGGGTTCGGTTGTATGACGATACGGCAACGTTGGCCCCCGTGTATGGCGTTCCATTGTATTGTCACCCCGGATAAAAGTGGTAGTGCTGAACTATGAAAGGTTCCCCCGAAATGGACTTCTATGATGAGTGTGTAGGGCGCGGTCAGATATATAGGATTCAATCAGGAATTGAGGGTGTAAAACTTTAATTCATTATTTTTGGTTGAAACTAACATGTTGCTCGTTCGATCCGGGTTAGCTGGACTCGGGCGAAAACCCCGAGAGAGGTACCGTTATTCCTTATTTCGGAGACATAGCCATCTTTGTTTAACGAGATATAGGGTGCGTAGAGGGTCATGTTGATAAACAATTTGGGCTCTCTAAAGTCGTGCAGAGGCTGCCGCACGTACACGCTGCCTAGTAAGAGCAGGACGTACCAGGTGCCGTTCACGCCGGGCTGATCGAACCCCATTGTGCCTCCTAGACCCCCGAGTGTGATTTTGGGTAGATGATCGACCATTGCTGCCCGCCTATACACGTTGTCCATACTGGCGGCTGGGCTGATGACTACGCTACGTCTCTGAGCCGGGACGTAAGCCACGAGCAGGGTTCGGTTGTTCACGACTTTGTTTAGGTAGTTGTCTTTGTTCTCCGTGAACACGTAGGGGGAGCCGAGCCTAATATTGAGAAACCAGTCGACTGTCATCGTCGGTGAAGACGAGCGTATGTGGTTGTTTCAGGCGACGGTCGTTCTCTCAACATCTTCTATGTCGAACAGTTTGCCCCCGAACGATGGGTATACCATCCATTTATCATCAGCGGTCGCGGACTAGGGTGTACCGAGTGTTGACGGTCGCTCCTGAGGTATCTACTATATCACCTAGTGTTCCACCGGAGGGGACTTCAACGCGGTTGTAAATTTTGTTTTTCAGTTGCAAGGCATACAATTTACCATCTACTCCGGGGTCGTCGAATCCGCGTGTGTCCCCGAGGTCAGAGATCCCCGCATTGATGCATTTTTTCAACCTCATTCCGGGGCCTTGTGCGCTAGTCATTTTATGTGCAGCGTTATGCTGAGGTATCGTATATTCACAGGATTATGATTTATATCTAACACCGCTATTACCAGCTCAGGGATGTTGCCCCGAATTAACCTCTTATACTGCCGCGGTGAAAACGACTCGGTTCTGCCGTCGTTGTATTTCTCCGTTTTCACCGGTACGGCTCTCAGTATCGTGAAAGGGTGACCCCCTTGAATGTTGTCC